AAGGTGAAAGCTTCACCTTCACTGTAGTCTCTGTAGCTGTGTCCCAGTTCAGGAGCTGCAGCTTTCACAGGACCGAACTGAAATGAGATGGTCTGGCCTATGGAGGATTTACGCTCCGCATCACCAGCTGTTCCCGCCCTTACCGTTGCGTCACAAAGCGCGGCTCCTGTTGCCAAACCTCAACAACATGTACCTTTTTTTCACAAAACCGTTTTGTTTTCAGTCTCTTGTTCGGTTGTCCCGTTAACTGTTGAACTGAGCTGAAACACAATACTGACATTTAACAGTGTGATCCTCAGACTCTCTGTCGGTGTTGTTTGCTTTCATTACGGGTGCGCAGTGAATCTTGGGTTATGTTGGACCAAGATGGATCCACCAGTTGGAGCCTTCGTTGTCCAGGAAAAGAAGGACACATCTAAAGGAGTCTGATATGGGACACTCTGGTCGCACCGCTGTGATGCAGCCAGTCTTCAGATACATCCTCTGAAGGATGAGACCCTGAACTGAGACACAGCTTATGTCCAGTCTGAATCTGAATATGACAGACATGGAAAAATATAAATATTTCTAACCATTGTAGCAGCTGCATGTGGAGACTGTGTTAGTCTTCCTGTTGTTAACCAGCTATTCATTTTAATGCTCCAGTCTTTCGCATGGATGTGATCTGTTACTGCTGCGGTAGTAAACAAGTACATGATGAGGTCCAGTTCCTGTCATTGGTTTATCACAGTGACGAGTCTTAATACCAGATACAGATGATTTGTTGCCCCACCAGTGGGTCACAGCCGACAGGTTGAGAACCACTGACCTTTAGTTAGATAAAACAAATATTTAAGGAGAATAACTAGGTTTACAAGATATTGTTTTATCATATTGACACCTTTCAGTCGACACCCAGCTCTACAACAACATGAAGGATGAAAGGTCACAGAGGTCCTGTCAGCTCATGTTCCATAAAGCAAAGATTTCACACTTCATCTACATGTTCCACAGACACTAGAAATGTGAACGTCACAGGTTTCAAAAACCACCACAGCAGTTAGCAGACGGTGCATCGTAGTTACATGAGATGTTTGATGCATATTTAACCTGATAGTGTTATCATTTACCTCACACACTCATCTTGTTCTTGTGCTCCGGGATGTAAAAATAACCATCAACTACACGTGTTAAGTTCCCCTGTCTGTCTCCTGAACGACAGGACATGATGAGACATGATGAGACGTGATGAGACGATGTCTTTGTGTGAAATGTAGAGTTGAATGTTTCAAAGCATTTATGAACTTTGTATCTTGTGAAGGTTTGTTGTCTTAGCTAACCTCTCTCTCTCTGTCTCTCTCTCTCATATATATATATACATATATATATATATATACACAAACACACACACAAACACACACAAAACAAACACACATACGCACACACACGCACACATATAGACACAGCAGACACATACATGTATGTATATATATATGTATATATATAGTAATAATAGCACTTTTTGTAAATTGAATGCCTTCATTTCCTACAATACTTTTGTTTAAAACCTTTATTACAGTATAGATTATATATTTAGCTCTTTCAGAGAACAATAACATGTAAATACAATATAAATGTTTATTTTTACAGGTACAATTTTGACAGTGTTTTCCTATCAAAGTGTCATTTTTGCTTTACTTGCACAAGTGTTCTGTGTGTCTCACTGAGGGGCCTTTTATCAGACCTGTAAACAGATGTTTAAACAGATGTTTACAGGAGGAGACTGAGAGCACAGACATGAAGCTTCAATGGACAGTTCTATAGCACTTAATGACGACATCTTGTCATGGGTTGTTCCATTATTAAGACAAACCAGACACATGTTCATTAACTCCCACAGTGATTGTGTCCTCTTCAGTCGACCTTTGACCTCAGTGTGACATGATAAAATATTACTTGATTTCTTGGTGGTTTCTGTCTGAGAGCTGTTGCATGGACACAGAGTGTACAGTCAGTTTCATCTGAACGTATGACGACTGTGGACCATGACAGAACCCAGAGAGTTAAAACAACAAACTGTGGATCAAAAAAGAAACTCTTAACATTGGACATGTAGATCCAGATTCTACAGAAGAAGATTAGGGCCACTGTGAAAACACTTGTTTTTAGAATTCAGACTTTTCTTTGAAAAATTCTGAGTTTAAAGTCATGATTTCTAAAAACATCATTTTTGTCACATGTGGCCCCGACCCTCTTCCGTCAGATCCAGAGTCTGGGGTCACATGAAGTCCATCATTATAAACCTGTCCCGGACTGAGACCGAGTGTGTCCCAGAGAGGAAGGAGAAGCTCTTCGGTGAGAGGCACAGACCTTCAGCAAATCACGTCAAACCTTTTTTATAAGCTTCATTGGTACCAGTGAACTTTATTGAATGTGTATGTAAGAAACACTGCAATACTGCAATATATTTTGGTATTGGATCAAGCTGCTAACATCCTTCTAAAGCTCCTGAAGGTGCTACAGACCTCTTTTCTAGTTTTGAAATGTATCATTTGTACAAACAAAGCATCCAGTTTAGCTGAACAGTTGGCATGTGTGTGCCTGGTTGTACTATATAGCTACATATATTTTATTGTACTGTGACTTTTGTAGTCTTTTAACAGACTTGCCTGTACTGCCCCTCCCCCTCCCCCCCACCTGTGTGTTTTGATATGTGGACACTGAGTCGTGGTGGGAGGTCTTTCTCTGTAGAGGCAAAGACATCGGTGCTGATGCCGGGGAACACGACTCGGTGCATCACCATGGAAACGAGCTGAGGAAGTTCAGAGACGAACTGCATTCCAGCCATGTTGGTTTTGTTATCCGCTGCATTTCAATAATGCCATCCTGTGACAATGATGGACTCATTGATAACTCTCAATATTTTACTTCAAATCTATTTTACAAACTACTGTTGTATTTTTATAAATATAGGCAAAGTATTTCACATAAACATATATATAAGTAAATATATATGTATATGTTTATAGGTTGTGTAAAATAAAAATTAATGCTGCAGCTTTTATCCGTTGTTTTTTAAACATTGACATCATCCAAAGAGGCAGATTATTTATTGTCTGGCAGAGTAACCTGATCTGATTTACATACCTTTGCTGCTATGAGAGAGAAGAGCTGCAGTCGTCAACTCCAGTGTTTTTACACAATGTAATGAAAGTTTAATAAACATAAGAGAAGGATCCAACAGCTGTCTGCTCCTTCATTACACTGTGTGTCACGTGTCTGTACATTCACATCCTCACTCTTGTCACTGACACACACTCACAGAAACTCACACTATCTGTAAATATAACCAGGAATAAATAAGTACATTTAAAATTTGTAAATATAGAAGAATAAGAAAAATGCTTTTATCTATTCCTTTGCAAATAGGTGCAAAAATATTTTTCTTATTCATTTATATTTCTTTATATTTCCACATTTATCTTTCTTTTAAAGATTTATTCTTTGTTATGGTTCTGCTATGACTCTATAGTCCAAGGCCCCTTTACATAAAGGTGATGAAGCCTGAAGGACCAACAGACTCTAGAGATGCCACTGTACAACTGAAGGTCCTAACAGATCAATAAAGTTAAATTAAACTTCAGTGTTTGTTATTGTTTCTCCTCAGGCTTCACTCAGCACAAGGTAACATGACCAGTCATCATCATCATCATCATCATCATCATCATCATCTTCATCCTGTCACAGTATTCCAAAAATTTTTTTCAAATTATTTTGAATTTTTTTCAAAAGATGAACATTTTTCAAAAGGTAAACATTTTCAAAAACAACATGTGACATTATCAAAGATCACAGCATGAGGGCGGAGCGGGAAGGTTGTAACTTCTTTGACATTTCTGTTTGAATCCAGTTTGTTCAAATCAAATACAAACTAGTTTCATGTGTGTGTTATTAAAAGGTGCAGCTGATTTCTCTGTGACACACACGTCTGAGCATCAGTGTCGCACACACGGAGAGAGACGTGACATCAGCTCATCGTCCTGCTGTGACACACTGAGGTGACGTGTGACATTCACATGATATTTAAAGATTTTATTCAACACTGACTTTTTAACAGTGTGTGTGTGTTGTTACACCTAACCTGCCTAGCAGCAACACATTAGCAGTGAGAACTAGCATGAACCACATGTACAGACTCACAGTAAAGATGATTAGAGTGTGAGCAGCTGACACACAAATAAATACAGTAAAAAACTTTCTTACCTCAACTTGAGTCTGTCACATGATGCTGCTTCCTCACAGGTGCGTTCAGGACTAACCTGAGCAGGTACACAGTGAATCAGGTGATTTAACTTGCTCCTGATTGAAGGAACTGGAGGTGTTACAGCTGACCTGGTCTCCTCTAATATACACATGACTGATACATGAACAGAGATAAATGTCTTTACTGAGGTGGACTGGGGGGGAGGGGGGGGGGGGGTTAGTGTCAGAGGACAAATAACTCAGAGATGAGACGATGAACCAACCAGCACATGATCAATAAGTCTGTCTGATCAATAAGTCTGATCAATAACTGTCCATGTGCAGTTTTCTCAGTCAGATGAATAGAGTTACAGTGAGTGACTGGTTGTTAAACACTCCTCCTCATCCTCATGTTAAACCTGCCTCACTGAGCGGGAAGCAGCTGATTGGCTGAGGGCGGGAGTTACTTTTTAACACACAAATATTATTGTTCTTCACAAAGCAGAGAGGCTCAGATTACCCATCGTCCCCTGCGGCAGATAGAGTAAACCGTGTTGAACCATCGGGGTGAACCCGCTGAACCCAAACAGAGAACAGTTCATCCTCCACACCAGCAGGCGGCGGTGTGTGTGTGTGTGTGTGTGTGTGTGTGTGTGTGTGTGTGTGTGTGTGTGTGTGTGTGTGTGTTGTGTGTGTGTGTGTGTGTGTGTGTGTGTGTGTGTGTGTGTGTGTGTGTGTGTTGAAAAGCTCTGCTCTTCGTTCAGTCTCCACCATGCACGATGCCTTCCCCGATCCCTGTGACCCGCCTGCTGCCCAGAGACCTCTACCCCTCCCTGGACATCGGGACGTGCAGCAGCCCGCTGACCAAACACCCGCACGGCTCCACCCTACAGGTCCCTGCTCAGCGGCTCCACGGCAGAGTCGGAAGCCGGCTCTGGTCCTCCGTCATCCTGTGGAAGGAGCTGCGGTCCGTGCAGCCGGTGGGCTCCGGCGGGTTCGGCTCCGTGTACCGGGCGGAGTACCTCGGGGAGACCGTGGCGCTGAAGCGGGTGAAGAAGTGCACGAAGAACCAGCTGGCTTCCCGCCAGAGCTTCTGGGCCGAGCTGAACGCGGCGCACCTGCGACACCAGAACATCGTGCGCGTCATAGCGGCCACCACCTGCGTGCCCGCGGACCGTGGAGATGAGAGTAGCATCGGGACGATCCTGATGGAATTCGTCGGGACCCGGGACCTGCAGCAGATCATCTACGGCGGCGCGGAGCAGCTGGGGGGGGACCGGTGGTTCAGGTACTCCACCGACATCCTCCGCGGGCTACGGTTCCTCCACTCCCACGGCGTCGTTCACCTGGACATTAAACCGGCCAACGTGCTCGTGTCCGCTCAGGACGTCTGCAAGATCGTGGACTTCGGTTGTTCTGTGAAACTGGACCGCGGGTCTGAGCCGAGCGCCATCAGCCCCCACTTGAGCCACGTAGGCGGCACGTACACGCACCGAGCCCCGGAGCTGCTGAAGGGCGAGGGGGTGTCTCCTAAAGCGGACATCTTCTCCTTCGGGATCACGCTGTGGCAGCTGATCACCAGGGACCAGCCCTACACCGGAGACCGGCAGCACGTGCTCTACGCCGTGGTGGCGCACAACCTGCGGCCGTCGGTCCAGGACCACCCGTGGTTCGGGTCGGAGCAGGGCCGGCTGTGCAGGACTCTGCTGAGCCGGTGCTGGAGCGGAGAGGCACGCTGCAGACCCAGCGCCCAGGAGCTGCTGCCTCACCTGGAGCAGCTGAGGCCGAGACATGAATCAGTGCAGGCGGGGAACACGCACCGGCAGCCGGACATGTTGCATCTTCTAGTCGGTACATCAGCTGCTCAGGACGGAGCAGAGGACTGAGGTCTCCTAGGGTCTTTACCCTGGTCACACTGAGGAGGACGGAGCAGGGGGAGGTCACGTCAATTTATTTTTAATAATTCTGGAAAAAAAAGTCAAATCTGAGATTTAAAAAAAAAAAAATCTGAGTTTAAGTCAGATTTCACCTTTTTTTCTGAATGATTAAAAAGTAAATGTTGTGTCCATAACCCTGATCCATATGAGCCTCAGCAGAGTGAAACTGGATGAACATTAAACGATGTGTTTGGTTTTATATTCACAGTGGACAGTCTGTTAAACATGTTGCAGTGTGTTGGTGACAGTCTCTGCAGCTGTTTTATCAGTGTGTCTTTAAAATGTCTGTTGTTGAGTCTCGTCACTGCTTCAGGTCAAATCCTCTTTATTTTCAGTTTTACTTTAAAGTTTTACCGTCATGGAAACAGAGTGAGCTGCTGCTGCTGCTGGATCATTCCTGTAGGAGACAGTGTCACACTTCAAGTCGCTGTGAAAGCTCTGACTCTGTTTTAACCTCGTGTTTCTTAAATTATAAACTCCAAATGTGAAACGTTTTATTTTCCATAATGATTGTAAAATGAGATTTAAGTGTTTTCATTAAAATTATTTTTATACTACACATGTTCGTCCACACATTGTGTCTACAGGAACAGGCTTCATGCATATTCAACAGTTTGTTTGTTTGTTTGACCTCACCAGTAAACACTTGATTTAAATGTTTACTGGTGAGTTTGTGTCCTCCATCTTTGTTGTGGCAGCGACCTGCTGGTCACCTGACTGACCTGATCTGACACCTGTCTGAACATGGAGGGCCACCGTGACACGTCAGGGTCTGGAGGCCTGTTATTGGCTGGTTTAGTGCCTGAGGGAGGGAACATGACACTAACACTGGACAGTTCTTCATGGACCCACCAGGTGAGACTGCTCCGTGTGGACATGATCATCATCACACCAACATCCCTAGCTCCAAGTCTCTGAGTCACATGACACATGAAGCTCTTCAGTGGTGCTGCCTCATGATTGGTTGATTGGATAATTGCATGAATAAGCAGGTGTACCGGTGTTCCTAATAAAGATACACACACACACACACACACACACTGCAGCTTGCACCCTCAGACAGCAGAGGTCGCTGCTGCTGTAAGAATGAGAGCATGAGAAGATTTGATGGACATGGAGACCAAAACACCTTAAGTTTTCTACTTAAGTCTGACACTTAAGGTTTAATTTCTCCCTAGCTCAGGGAGTTACTTAAGGGTGTCGCACAGAATCTCTTAAAAGTTAAGGTATTTACAGCAGCGATAGACATTTTACAGCAGTAAAATTCTACTGTTTCCATGGAGACAGTCGATTTGCTGCCATTAGCACTTGTGACACTTGTGATCTCATCCTGTTGATTTGA